GTATGCTTTCCTGGTTTTCGTATTAGGGTGATGCTGGCTTCATAGAATGAGTTATGGAGGTTTCTTCTTTCTCTGTCTTGTGGAATAGTGTCAAAAGGATTGGTACCAATTCTTTGAATGTCTGGTAGAATTCTGCTGTGAATCCATCTGGTCCTGGACTTTGTTTTGCTGGTAATTTTTAATTACTGTTTCAATCTCACTGCTTGTTATTGGCCTGTTCAGGGTATCTAATTCTTCCTGATTTAAGCTAGGAGGGTTGTCCAGGAATTTATCCGTATCTTCTAGTTTTTCTAGTTTATGTGTGTAAAGGTGTTCATAGTAGCCTTGAATGATCTTTATATCTCCTTTATCTTTTCTCAGTGATGTTATTTGGATTTTCTGTCTTCTTTTCATGGTTAATCTTGCTAATGGTCTATCAATTTTGTTTATGTTTTCAAAGAACGAGCTTTTTCTTTCATTTATCTTTTGTATTTTTTTGTTTGTTTGTTTCAATTTCATTTAGTTCTGCTCTGATCTTGTTTATTTCCTTTCTTCTGCTGGGTTTGGATTTTGTTTCTTCTTGTTTCTCTAGTTCCTTGATGTGTGATCTTAGATTGTGTGTTTGTGCTCTTTCAGACTTTTTAATGCAGGCGCTCAGGGCTATGAACATTCCTCTTATCACCACCTTAGCTGTATCCCAGAGGTTTTGATAGGTTCTGTCATTATTGTCATTCAGTTGGAATAATTTTTTAATTTCCATCTTGATTTCATTTTTGACCCAATGCTCATTCAAGAGCAGGTTATTTAATTTCCATGTATTTGCATGGTTTTGAAGATTCCTTTTGTAGTTCATTTCCAGTTTTATTCCACTGTGGTCTGAAAGAGTGCTTGATATACTTTCAATTTTCTTAAATTTATTGAGGCTTGTTTTATGGCCTATCATATGGTCTATCTTGAAGAAATTTCCATTACTGTTGAATAGAATGTTTATTCTGTGGTCATTGGATGAAATGTTCTGTATATATCTGTTATGTCCATTTGTCCCAAGGCATAGTTTAAATCCATTGTTTCTTTGTTGACTTTCTCTCTTGATGACCTTTCTAGTGCTGTCAGTGGAGTATTGCAGTCCCCACTATTATTGTGTTGCTATCTACCTCATTTCTTAGGTCTATTAGTAATCGTTTTATAAATTTGGGACCTCCAGTGTTAGGTAGATATATGTTTAGGATTGTGATATTTTCTTGTTGGACAAGACCTCTTACCATTATATAATGTTCCTCTTTGTCTCTTTTAACTGCTGTTGCTTTAAAGTTTGTTTTGGCTGATATAAGAATAGTTCCCCTGCTTGTTTTTGGTGCCCATTTGCATGAAATGCCTTTTTCCACCCCTTTACTTTAAGTTTATGTGAGTCCTTATGTGTTAGGTGAGTCTCCTGAAGGCAGCAGATAGTTGGTTGGTGAGTTCTTACCCATTCTTCAGTTCTGTACCTTTTCAGTGGAGCATTTAGGTCATTTACATTCAATGTTAGTATTGAAATGTGAGGTACCATTGCATTCATTATGCTCTTTGTTGCCTGTGTACTCTTTTTTGTTTTGCTTTTTAACTTGTATTTTTGTTTTATAGGTCCTGTGTTATTTATGCTTTAAAGTGATTCTGTTTTGATGTGTTTCCAGGATTCGTTTCAAGATTTAGAGCTCCTTTTAGCAGTTCTTGTAGTGGTGGCTTGGTAATGGTGAATTCTCTCAGCATTTGCTTGTCTGAAACTGATTGTATCTTTTCTTTGTATATGATGATGCTTAGTTTCATTGGATACAAAATTCCTGGCTGATAATTGTTTTGTTTGAGGAAGCTGAAGATAGGGCCCCAATCCCTTCTAGCTTGTAGGGTTTCTGCTGAGAAATCTGCTGTTAATCTGACAGGTTTTCCTTTATAGATTACCCGACACTTCTGTCTCACAGCTCTTAAGATTCTTTCCTTTATCTTAACTTTGGATAATGCACTTAGGCAAAGATCTTTTTGAGATAAATTTCCCAGGTGTTCTTTGTGCTTCTTGTATTTGGATGTCTAGGTCTCTAGCAAGGCCAGGGAAGTTTTCCTTGATTATTCCCCCAAATAGGTTTTCCAAGCTTTTAGAATCATCTACTTCCTCAGGAACACTGATTATTCTTAGGTTTGTTTGTTTAACATAATCCCAGACTTCTTGGAGGCTTTGTTCATATTTTCTTATTCTTTGTTCTTTATCTTTGTTGGATTGGTTAATTTGAAGACCTAGTCTTTGAGGTCTGTTTTTCTTTCTTCTACTTGTTCAATTCTATTGCTGAGACTTTCCAGACCATTCTGCATTTCTAAAAGTGTGTTCAAAATTTCCTAATGTTTGTATTGTTTTACCTTTAAGCTATCTATTTCCTTGAATATTTCTCCCTTCACTTCCTGTTTGTTTTTTGAATTGGGCTTTGCCCTTCTTTGGTCCCTCCCTGATTAGCTTAATAACTAACCTCCTGAATTCTTTCTTGGGTAAATCAGGGATTTATTCTAGGTTTGGATCCCTTGCTAATGAACTGGTGTGATTTGGGGAGGCGAGTGTTGATGAGCCTTGTTTTGTCATATTATTAGGGTTGATTTTCCGGTTCCTTCTCATTTGGGTAGGCTCTGTCAGAGGGAAGGTCTAGGGCTGAAGGCTGTTGTTCAGATTTTTTTGTCCCACAAGGTGTTTCATTGATGTAGCACTCTCCCTCTTCTCCTATGGATGTGGCCTCCTGTGATCTGAATTGCAGTAATTGTTGTCTCTTCTGTGAGTCTATCCAGCTCTAGACTGATATTGGAGGTTGTCTGCACAGAGTCCTGTGATATGAACCATCTATGGGTCTCTTAGCTTTGAATACCAGCACCTGTTCCGGTGGAGATGGCAGGGTGTGCAATGGACTCCATGAGGGTCCTTAGCTTTGGTGGTTTAATGCTCTATTTTTGTGCTGGTTGGCCTCCTGCCAGGAGGTGGCGCTTTCCATAAAGCATCAGCTGTAGTCATGTGGAGTGGGACCTGTGGTGGACAGGACCCTAGAACTCCCAAGATTATATGCCCTTTGTCTTCCACTACCAGGGTGGGTAGGGAAGGACCATCAGGTGAGGACGGGGCTAGGTATGTCTGAGCTCACTCTCCTTGGTTGAGAGTTGCTGCAGCTGCTGTGGGGGATGTAGGAGAGATTCCTAGGTCATGAGAGTTGTGTGCCTAGGAGGATTATGGCTACCTTTGCTGAGTCATGCAGGTTGTCAGGGAAGAGGTGGAAAGCCGCAGTCACAGGCCTCACCTAGCTTCCATGCAAACTAAAGGTCGGGTCTCACTCGCACTGTGCCCCCTCAACAGCCCCAGTCTGTTTCCAGGCAGAGGGCGAGAGGTGCTTGAAAACTTGCCTGAGGCTATCTGGCTCCCAGCTGCGAAAGAAAAGGACTTTGGTTCTCCCCGCCCCTGCCCCCGCTCCCGCGGACTCTGCAAGCCGGGATTCGTGCCCTCCCCTGAGTTCAGGCAAGGAGGATTCTTGCCTTGTTCAAATTGTTACAAAGTTCAGCTACAGAATTCCTTCTCCCTGTGGAGTTTTACCTCAGGCTCCTCTGACCACCCTCCTGATGGATCCCTGTGGTGCTAGGCAGGAATGGGCTGCCTGGGGATCCAGTGAGCTCCCAGGGCCTGTCTGCTGCTTCCTCTACTGCTGTATTTCACTCGCCTTGGCTCTTTAACTTGATTCAGCTCCAGGTAAAGTCAGAAACCTCTCCCACAAACAGACCTTCATCTTCTGCAGTGGGGGTGTGTGTTTGGGAGACGCGGGTCTCCCTTTCCCACTTCCACAGTTGGGGCACTCACAGTGTTCGGGGTGTCTCCCAGGACCTGCAGGAGCAGTCTGCTTCCTTCAGAGGGTCTCTGGGTCCTCTCTGGATTGCCGGTTTGTTCTTGCAGTTGATCTGGAGATAAAATTCACAATGCAAGCCTTCGCATGCTGCTCTGTCCGGAGCTGCAATCTAGTCCTGCCTCCCATCTGCCATGATCCCCTAATCTTTGCATGTTTTTTTTTTTTTTTCAGACATAGCACAGAAAAGTGCCTGTTTACTTGGCAGGCACCCTGGTACCCAGATAGAAGTGCTTGGGCTGAGCCGAGTGCCTTGGTTACAAGTACGTCATCAGCCACAATTAAACCAGGAAATACAGGAGTCTCAGGAAGTGCACTTGATAACGAAGCCTCACTAAGCCAAAATTCGCCAATAATCAGCATTGCTCTTCATCCTGAGATGATGCAACCATATTTTACAAGGCAGTCCAGTGGTGGAAGACAGGCCTGGGGACACACTAGATCCCTTGTCTAGCTTTGTCACCAGTTCACATGATTTTAGACAACCAGGGTTAAATGCCTTCCCAGTGTTTCAGCTTCTCTCTTGCAAAGTCTCAAATCTATCCATCAGTGGCAGGATTTATAAGTTCATATGAGTGGCAAATGTATTGGACAATGACGTCTTTAATGCCAGGAACAATGTTTTATTGTTCTTTACATACACCGAGCACAATGCTTGCTGCAGTAGTCATTGAACTATTATTTGCTAAATTATTAACAGTCAGAAAACTAAATGATAAATGAGACCCATTAGTCACTAGCTGTTTGGACAAGCTTTCTGGTTGTCCATTGACACTATTAAGCCCTGGGCTAGGAATGACAAGCCCAAGATCACTTATAGAGTCACATGGAAAAGTCTAGGGTAGCATTCTAGCCACAGAGCTGTGCAGCCTGCCCAAACAGGGCTGTCTCAGTAACACAAGCTCTCCTCCTACCAAACCAAAAAGAAAAGCAGCTTGGTTAGAGTCTTAGGATTCCAAGAGCCACTTATTTCTGGTTATTTGCTTTTGGCAGGCACTGCATAGATATCAAAGGAGTAGTGCTGAAATTGAAGAGATTTATCATTTTCATTCCTAGAAAGTTCGTAGGAATCATCATGTCTTGTGGTACATAAGTACAGCTGGAATTCTTTGTATCCTGGAGAGGAGAAACACACAGGTGACCACGGTACTGAGGCACCATTCCAAGAGAACTATAGAATCTTGTTTCTGTCCTCTAGTGATTTGCAATCTAGCGTCTTCGTGACTCTTTAAGGAAAGAACATCTATGGTTAGCATTAAGAAACTGTTAAGGAGCATGTAGCGAAGCATAGGCTCTGAAGTGAAAAGAACTGGGTCTTACTAGTTTTGTGACCTCGGGCATATAACTTCATCTCTATGGGCCTCAATTATCATAACAGTTCCTATCTCTCAGCCTTCCTGTAAGACACAGATGAAATCAGGTATGTTCAGAGAGGCACTGCAAACTGTAACACACATCATACATGCTAGTCATTATTGTTTTATAGACACTTCTTTCTGCACATCCAGAAGGTAGAGATGTGAGCTTCAAAAAAAAAAAAGATCAATTTAAAAGCAGTAATTCAGAGAACGATGACTGCAAATTGGGAGTGAATTCCAGTAAGACAGTGACCAAAAATTGAATGCTGGATTTAGCCAGATGCCCAGAGATATCAGTGCACACCAAGGAGCTAATAATGTCATTCCGCAGAACTCTGCTTAGAACACAAAGGAATTTGGCCGTCAATTCTGGTGTCTCCAATACCAGAGTGATTTTTGATACCCAGGAATTATAAGAATTGGCATTTGCTCAACGTCTATCACATTCACTTATTTTTTTCACTAAACGTTAAAACTTCTATCACATAGGCAAGTTGAGGTTTTTATTGAGCTCTAAAAATCGAATGATAAAACTTTCCGATCATGCCTGTGTGAAAGTATTGCCACTCGTAGAAACAAATTAAAACGCTGGAATGTCCACAGTGTGAGCACAACAGGCTCTCAATGAATTTATGCTTTCCTATAAACCTGTAAGCTTTCTCTGTAAAATAAGCAATTTTTTGGACAGTTTTTTTAAATGGCCCAGTTGCTCTAGTTATTAGCAGACAAAATTTTTATGGATTTTAATACTTCTCTATTCAGAAAAATTGTGTAATTTATGGTGGAATATGTGCCCAGTTACCATATATTTCTCCAGGTTTCTAGTTAACAGCCTTTCCCATGCACAGTTGGACTGCTGATGTAAGTTTGTAAGAGAGATGCTTAATTATCCTTCTGTTCTGTGCCTGACTCTGCTTCCCCCTGGGGTCCTTCTGGCAATTGTCTTAGCTCTCCTGACACCGAAGCAAAGGAAACACAGAGCGTCCCAACTTTCCTCTCAGGGTTTTATCCAACTGCATCTGCAGGACCACAGGGAGGGAGGAATTTAGGTCCCAAACACATTTTTGTTCCTCTGTAGATGAGGTAACTCCTCCTCCTTTCTATACTGTGCTCAGAAACAGGCTGCACCCACCCACGAAAGGTCCGGGGAGGCTCCTGGCTAGAAACTGTGCAGGGCCCCGCCCTTGGAGCAGTCTGTCTCCATGGAGACCGACGCGCCGGAGAAAACTCACACCGGGCCAGGTGGAGACCACAACAGCGGGGGAGATACGAGAGTCAACAGATGGGGAAAAACAAGAAACACTAAATGGGAGACTGAAATGTTCGGGTGGGAGAATTTACTCCTTTGTAGCTGTTTTTTAAAATATTTCCTCATCTCAAAGACACAGAGTGAAAGGGCTGGGAGAGGGAGGGAGGGAAGGAGGGAGGCAGAGAAGGAGAGAGGACTATCCCTAGATAAGTAAAACGAAAGCGTTAGTTTTTCATTTAATTACATATAATTTCCTCCAGGTCAGAATGTTCTGTAATCCATTCAATGTTTATAATTGTGGATCTGCTCCATTTTCATCATGCAGCAGTAGTGAGAAAGTAGCTGATCATGGAAACCACTGCCTACACTTAGCAAATAATCAGTCCCCATTTAAACCCCTCATCAAGTTGTATACATGATATGATCTCTTAAGCGCTTGGCTTTTTCTAGAATCTCATTAATTTCAGAGGGTAATTTCTAATGATCGCACTTCAGAAATTGTCAGAAATGTTTTTTTTTTTTTTCCTTTTGTTGCTTGTTGCCAAGTGAGAACAATCTTGTAATGACACCACATTTTTTAACATGCTTTTTCATAATGAGTCTTCAGGGGAAAATTCAACTTATGAGAACTAAGAAAACAGTCTGCTACTTCGCATATCATCAAAACCAAAAGAACATGGTTTTGCATGCATAATACGATATGGTTACAATGCCTGCACTGGGCCAGCCATACCCGACGTAGATTATGAGCCATTGCTGCTGATCAATACAAGTGTAGTATTACTTGCACTTGCCAGTACACACTTTAACATAATCGATAATATATAATTTGTTAGCGTTTCTAAGAACTAGCGAATAGAAGGGAAGTGTAAAAGATCAAAACACAAAGTCTCAGGTTTGCCTCTGAACAATTCTGTTATGCGCCGCAAGTCACAAAAAGCTAATGTGCTCAATGGCATAACTTTAAAAAAGCACGATTACGTTTTGTTACTTTCTGTTACCACTCAGGATTTACCTTAGTCATTAGTATTGTTTTCAGACCACATAGAGAATAATAGTGAAGGGAGAAGAAGCTCATAAATAAGATGCATTTATCTAAAACCCCCTGTCCTTAGAGACCAAGAATGACTTTCCTCTTGGGACTTGAGGAGCGAAGGTGACAGCCTTTGTCACAGGAGCTGAACGTGAAATGAAGTGATGGTATCAACCACACTCCCAAGGGAATGATTTTTAAAGAAATACCTTTGACTTTATTCAGTGACACAACACCTTTTTCCCCTTTTACTGCAATGTTGTTCTGTTACATTGTCAAGAATCCTTGGATACAGCACAAATCTGTGTTATTTCAAAGCTATTTCAAAAGGCCTAATAATTCCTTATATTTATCAAGTACTCTAACAACCAAGACATGAAAATATTCTAATTTTCTTTGTTCAGTGTTATAGTTTAGTTTAATTCATGATGCTCAAAGTCAGTCCTTCTGCAGAATTTGAGTCAAATGAAAAGGTCTGCATGCTCAAAATATACCTCTTTTGTCAACCTGAAGCCCTGTTATTGGAGTCCACATAGATTCTCACAGTATTTCCCAAAGAACTACAATTTTAAATTCTATTATCGGTAGTTAATTAATAGTAGTAAAAGCTGCTTAGCTAAATGAAGATACTTGAGGAAATATGACCAGAGCAGGTAAAATAGGTAAGAGATATTCAGAGAGAGAGACTGAGGGAGAGAGAAAGAGAGTTTATTTTGGCATTTATTAAAAACGTACTCTGCACATGAAACTGGGCATTCTCTGTGCAGTATATTTTTTAATCCTCACAATAAATTATTACTGTTCCCATACCACACAATAGGTCGCACAGCCTGAATCTAGCTATGCTGGTGAGGGAACAGGGGTGATGGGTGGGTGTGGAAAGTCTAGAGAAGGCTCACTGCCTGAGACGATCTGGTGACAGCCAGGACATAGGATGCTAGATGTCAAAGGAAAAAGCTCCAAAGGCAAATTCCACCAAAGGGGTGACCCAAAGGGACATAATGGAATCCTAAAATTACCTCTATTTCATGATCTTTTTAAAACATTTGAAAAACAGGGAGGACAATGATTCATCGAGAAGAAACTACAAGGCCTCTTCAATTCTCAGCTACTTCAAAAACAGCAATAAAGTGTTAAGAGTTTATTGCGGCCGAGAGCTGTGGCTCACACCTGTAATCCCAGCACTTTGGGAGGTCGGGACAGGCGGATCACTTGAGGTCAGGAGTTAGAGACCAGCCTTGCCAACGTGGTGAAACCCCATCTCTACTAAAAATACAAAAAATACCCAGGCATAGCAGCACACGCCTGTAAACCCAGCTACTCCAGAGGCTGAGGCAAAAATTCTTGATCCCAGGAGGCAGAGGTTGCAGTGAGCCGAGGTCGCGCCACTGCACTCCAGCCTGGGTGACAGAGTGAGACTCCGTCTCAATAAATAAATAAAAGTTTATTGCAAGAAGTATGTACAATAGAGCTTGTGAATGTGGTGAGTGTGTGTATGTAGTGTGATGTGTGTGTGAACACACATGAGAGTGCAGTACGCATGTGAATGATGTGTATGTATAGATACGTGTGTATATGGGGCAGGGTGATAAGCACATTTCACACATTATTGCTTCGTGATCCTCTAAAAAAATTTTCACACACTTGGGAAAATAAGCAACACCACATGAACTATCCGCCTATCTGACAAAATGCTCTGGAGAAAATAAATGTAGCTGTGATAACTGGACTCTCTTTAAATGCCAAACAGGTCCAAAAAATTTCTCATAAATTTAATATGCTCCCTAGAAGCAAATTTCTCCCATTCTTCAAGAGGTCCCTTTAACACTTTTTCATCTGTTTTCTGATCCCCAATATTCCCTATAACCCACTTGTTATAATAACTGTTAACTGATGACCTTACCTCATACTTCACTGAGAAGCTAGACACAACCATATAGGAATTCCCCTATCTTCCTAGCATCATCTCCACCTGTGTTGGAAAACACACACTCTGCTTTTCTTCCTGTTTCAATGGAAGAAGCGTTTGTCTTCCCAGCAAAGTCTACCACATTGTGCTCTGGATCAGATCCTCTCTATGCTTCTCAAGGATTTCTGACTCTCTTTGGAATTTTTAGTGTCTTTCTTGTTGCCATGAGCGTACACATTTGCTGTAGGGTCTCCCTTCTTTAACGAGTGTTCCCATGATCCTGCAATCCTCCACAAAGATTGCTCCCAATTCTCTGCTCCTTATTACAGCAAAACTGATTAAAATAGCTCTCTACCATCCACTGCCCCAATGGCTTCACTTCCAGACATCTCTTTGATCCCCTTCAGTAGGGTTTCTCTCTTACACTGCAACCCAGTGGAACTGCCCAGAACCAAGCACCAGTGACTCCCCTTCTACCAAAGACAATCTTTAATTCGCTGACCGTATTGCACTCTCTCAACAACAGTTTACAGAGTGAACAGTCTCTCCTTCCTGAAATATTTCTATCTCTTGGTTCCCATGAAACCCACCTCTTAGCTTTCCTACTACTTCCCTGTCCATTCTTCCTCAGTTACTTTACTGGCCACTCCTCTTCTGCAAGACCCCCATCTGAGGTCTCAGGAGTCAATCTTCATCATTTTTCTATCTTCGATCTATGCTCTCCCTCTTGATGATCTCCCATAGCTATAGATGATACCTAATTGCATCCAATTTTATGTATTTGGGCCCAACTTCCTTGATGAGTTTCATACTCTAATATCTAATGGACTACTTACAATCTACACTTA